TCAGCTGTAGAAGAACGAGAAACCAGGAAGAACACGCCAGCAGACTTGGAGATCTATTGACAGAGGAGATGTGGAAAAATCAAGAAAAACAAGAAATAGACTTTCCCGTCGACGGGAATAATCCGCACAAAACCAACCAAGAAAGAAGACCAGTCGCAGAAGCAAATCTACAGACTAACGAGACGCGAGAAGAAAGAACAAAGATGCACGGGATAAGGGACTTCCCCGCGCTCAAAGGCCGTCACCGAAACGAAAGACGGCCGCAGACGGAGCAGATTCGCAGGCCAATCCAGAGCGACCTCCGGCAGGAATCAACCGCAAGAGATCGCAGCACCAAGAAGGAGTCACCAGAGAGGGAGAGAGAGCGAGCGAGCGAGAGCGAGGGAACGGTAGACAGAGAAAGAGCGGGAGAGAATGAGAGAGATGACTGGACGGAATGGGCTATATATACGGCCAAGATTCAAAGGCGCGCCAAGGCGTACTTCCCGCCAACGGTCATCTTCATAACGGCCCGCCTCTTTCTCTCTCTTTAGGCAGGGGTTCTTGGCTCATGAATTAAGCGAGCTTAACTATGATAAGCTCCACATTGATTCACCGGTTTGTGCGCCATTTCCCTATACTACTTAGCATAGTAAAACGCACCACAAAATCCTCTTTCTTCGTGTTGATGTTGATGGAACTGATCCTTGTAAAACTCTTATTGGTGTATTCAAGCATATTGGTTACTTTAAACGTTTTTTATTATGGGTGATTGATTAACCATTGTAAACTCTAGGATTATAATTTTTGGTCTCTTTATTGAATTGAAACACAAGAGGTTAACTAACTTGTTCTATGTTAAGCTCCAAATTGTTCCATATCTAATCCCCTAAGATCCTTAAATCTTAGTCTATTAATTATCTTTCCCCTTCCAAGCAAGGAAGGAGAGTTCTATAAAGAGTTCTCTATCAGATCGTGCAAAATTAAACAATTTATTTACTTTTAGATTGTTTCATTTCAACGATCTTTTAAACATTGTTGATTTGAGCTAGTACTGCAAGTGTGTAGCACTTGGGTTTTTTTAGTTCTATACACAAGTATAGAAATGTGTATACATTGGAAATATATTTGAAATAAATTCACAATGGAATAAGCACCACATAAAAAATCAAATATTTCTATTTGTGATGAAGGCTATAATATTATTTGACAATTTATGAAGCTTCAATTTTGGTACTGATGTGACAACACATGGCGAGATTTGTAACTAATGTTAAAAACTACTAGGCAGCCCTTAATGTAGAATATGGAGATTGGAGTTCAACCGACAAAGGAAATAAAGGATTGAGAATAATATGAGGAAAGTAATTTCGCTTGACCAAACCACTATAAGCCTAGTGTGTGAAGACTATTGAGAATAATTTGAGGAAAATACTAGTTTGATCATAAAAAAGGTCATGTTCACCTCTCTTTTAGTTCCTCATGCTGCCTTTATCAAATCAATAAGGCTCTTTACAAAACAAACATGACACTTAATAGAACAATACGCTTATTTGAATAGATATATATGAGGTCTCTTTGAGTGAATTTTCCTTTCTATAGATTTACTATAATATTTTTTTTTCATAGATGTTAGAATAAGAATTTAATCTAATAAAAATTATCTAAATCAATTAGGAAAGTGCTAAATAATCTTAAATTAAATTTTATTTCTGTAAAATTTATTCCATGTTTTAGGAAGTGGATGAGATGGGTTAACTAGCTTGTTTGGGAAAATGTTGCAGTAAATGGAATGATGAGAAATAACAAAGATTGTTTTGGAACAACGATTTTGACAGATTATATTGTGTTAAATTTTCCATTGAGAAATGACCACGAGAACCTTGAGTATTTTATAGTAAACTTTTTACGTTTTTCTTGTAACCTCTAAACTAAACAAAAAGGTTTCCTTCTAATTTCCTGCAAATAGAGGCATATCAAATAAGAATGAATTGATGAGAAACCATGAAAGGCATCTTTGGATTTTTCATCTATTCGTATCCGATCTTCACTTTAAATGCTTGAATCAAATAGAAATGGCATTCTAGATACTGGAAGGTGTCGCAAAGGGGCTTGTGGGTAATAAATTTAAAATCGAAATAGTTGAGAACATGTCGAGCAGTTTTAGATATTTTTGATGAAAAATGATTTTTTATCTATTTAACTAATCTTAGCAGAAAAAGTAGATCTTAACAAATAAAGACAATTTCATGTCGTCGACGGGAAAGTCTATTTTCCTGTTTTTCTTGATTTTTCCACATCTCCTTTGTCAATAGATCTCCAGGTCTGCTGGCGTGTTCTTCCTGGTTTCTCGTTCCTCTATAGCTCGCGTCTGCGGGTGGTTTTCTTTCCCGGCTATCGTGACGATCTCTTTGCGCAGAGATTTCTCTCTTCCTCTGTTTTCTTACTTGCCTCCCCACCTCTCGTTGGTCTGCCGGTCTGCCGCGTCTGCGGCTGGTTTTCCTCTTGGCTTGTGGTTGCAACTATCTATCTGTGCAGGAATTTGTCCTTTTCTCTGCTGATTTCGCAGATCCTGGGACGCGGCGATGATGGCTTCCTGGGGATTGAAGAGCTGCAGCGAAGAGGAATCATCTTCGATAAGCCGCAGCTCCATTCAGGAGGCCCGTCAGTCAAGACTCATCTCGAGGCAGCATGGCGTTTCCAAGCACAGCGTAAGCCCTCGACGGATTGACCCAGTTCTTTATTCTAAACCATTTAGGGTTTCGATTTAGATTTCTAGTGCCACCAGATTCATGATTTCTGCAGATTACGTTTCCTTCGTATTCCTAATTGCGTAGTTAGTCGTTCTCTGAACGTCATCATCTCGGCGATTCAGGGCGATCGATTTATCCCCAACAGATCAGCAATGGACTTCGACATGGCCTTCTACCTGCTGACACAAACCAGGAAAGAGAAGGAGAAAGCCGCCGCCCTGGCCTCCCATCCGGGGCAGACCTACGGGAAACTCCTGGCCGAGAGGTTGCTCCCGAATAGAAATCGGATTCTGGCCTTCCAGGCGCGGCCCCCTGCTTCCTCCTCCACGGCCGAGGAGGTCTCCTTCGATCACCAGCCCAAGTCCACGAAACAGACGAGAGAAATCTCCCGGTCGGCAGATCGGATGCTGTTAATCCCGGAAATGGCCGACGACTACTACCTTAACGTGCTGGACTGGGGGAGCAGGAACATCCTGTCTATCGCCCTCGGCCGCACCGTCCACCTGTGGAACGGCACCGACGGTTCCACGTTGGAGATGATGATGGCGGAGGACGACCTCGGAGCCGCAGCGAGCGTCTCCTGGGCTCCAGATGGCCGGTACCTTGCACTGGGTCTGAACGGCTCCGACGTCCAGCTGTGGGATACCGACTCCCAGCGACTGGTAAGTGGCCAGACCTCCTTCCCTCCCTGCCTAGAGGATTTCAGGGTTTCCTTTTCTGACGAGAATCGTCCTCTGTGTTTATCCGCCGCTGCAGCTGAGGACTCTGAGAGGTGTACACCGTTCTCGAGTCGGATCGCTCTCATGGAGCAATCACATTCTGACGACGGGAGGGAAGGATGGCAAGGTGGTGAACAACGACGTGAGAATCAGGTCTCACGTCGTCCACTCATACAGAGGCCACAGAGGAGAAGTCTGCGGGTTAAGGTGGTCTGGTTCCGGCCGGCGTCTGGCCAGCGGCGGCGACGACAACCTAGTCCACATCTGGGACCTGCGGAGGGCATCGACGGCCACTGCTCCGCGGACCTCCCAAGGTCCCTGGATCCACAGGTTCGACAAGCATGCCTCCGCCGTGAAGGCCCTCGCATGGTGCCCCTTCCAGAGCAACCTGCTGGCCTCCGGCGGCGGCGGCAACGACCGGTGTATCAAGCTCTGGAACACCGAGAACGGCACTTGCCTCGACTCGGTGGACACGGGGTCGCAGGTCTGCTCCCTGCTGTGGAGCAAGAAGGAGAAGGAGCTGCTAAGCTCCCATGGGTTCGGTCAGAACCAGCTGACTTTGTGGAAGTACCCCTCTTTTAGGAAGATTATCGACCTCACCGGCCACAGTTCCCGAGTCTTGTGCACGGCCGTGGTATGGACCAAAATCCCCCCAGATCCTGTCGGTTTATTCCCAGCTGTTGTCTATAATGCTGGTATGACGGCGAGATATCGGCTTCGCAGAGCCCGGACGGGTGCACGGTGGCGTCGGTGTCGGGTGACGAGACGCTGAGGTTCTGGAACGTCTTTGGATCGCCGGAGACGACGAAGAAGTCGCCTCCGAAGCCCCCTCCGGACCTAGAGCCATTCTCCAGCTTCAGCCGCATCAGGTAATGTACAGGGGACAACACGGGTGGGCAGACGGGGCGGGGAAGAGCCCGGTTCTCCCCTTCTAGCCCGCCGCCCGCCCGAGTTTTCTTCTTCTTTCTCTTGTATGCACGATGATGGATTTCTCTGACATTTTTCTCGAATCGTTTTCCGCTTCTGCGGTCGTCGATCCGTCGGATATTTACTCCGAGTTTTCTTCGATCGGCCGAGTTTTCTTGAGTTGCTTTCCTTTCCTGGTCATAGATGCAGCTGCCGGTTTTCTTCTTCTTCCTCCTCGTCGGCGGAGGAACATGTCTGCATATTTTCTCTGTTTGGTTAAATGCGTATCGCCGGCGGTCTTCCGTTGTCACCAGAAGTTGGGTGCCCCGAAGAATTCTAGGAAGTTGATGATCGGAGCCGGAATCTTCGTCGACCAAGGCCTGACGGCAGGAGCATGATGATGCACGGCGGCGTGGACACCGGCGATGACGATGTACAGGCTCCGACGCCGACAACGGCGACGGCGTCCACCATGGACCGGAACCTTCCTGTCTTCAAGGTCTACCCCTCTCTCTCTCTCTCTGTCTCTCTCTGTGTCTCTTCGCTTGTTCATGCTTCTCTGCTCAGCCTCGGCGCCAATGGTGATCAGCAGTTCCGGCTGATTGCTTCGCTTCGCACAGTGGGAGAAAAGCAGGAGGAAAATATGTGGAACAATTGGACTGTAGAGCTCAGCCTGGAGCGGTAGACCCTTTAAACATTCAGATAATAAAAAAAGTACTAATAAACATTTTCTTACGACTTTGGATGAGACGGGTGATTTGGCGTGCTTGGGAAAATTTTGGAAGAAATTTAATGATAAGAAATAAAAACATGGTAGTGGAATAATGATTTAGACCGGATTATATTGGGTTAAATTCTCCATTGAGAAATAACGATGAAAACCTAAAGTATTGATAAAAAAAATTATTCTTTTCATTTGATCTCTAAGTTAAAGAAAACGTTTCCTACCAAGTTCCTTAGAAAGAGAGTTATATACATTCTATATTTGGCGAGAAACCATGAAAAGCATCTCCTAGGTTTTTCGTATTAGCACCCAATCTTTACCTTAAATTCTTGAATTAAATGAAAATGATCTTATAGATATTGAAATATGGTTCAATTGGGGCTTGAGGGTAGTAAAATTCAAAACGAAGGTAACCAAGAAAATCTCGAATTGTTTTAGATATTACAGATTAAAAATGATATTTTCTCAGTTTATTTAAGCTAAAAATCAGGAGTTGATTCTATAGAGGAAACTACCATCATAAAACCATTTAGTTTGTTATTGAATATGCATAAACCTTTTTCTAAAAAATTCTATAAATGAAACATAAGGAGAATCAATTTTAAAGAAATAAAAATTAATTAAAAAAATAGTTATATCTTCATAATTTATCTTGATAATTTTTTAAATGATTATTTTTTAAAAAATTTATGTAAAATAAAATTATTACACCAAATTCATAGAAAGGAAAATTAATCCAAGGAGACATTATATCTATTAAAATAAGTTTACAAGTCTATTAAGAGTCATGATACTTTTGTAAAGAGCCTTATTGATTCAATTAAGGTAGCATGAGAAACCAAAAGAGAGGTGGGCATGATTTTATATTCTACATTTTTGGCTTCCTAATAGTTGTTTTTTTTACTATAGTTACAAATCTTGCCATGTGTTGTCATATTCTTTTCTAAACTTAAGCTTAATGAATTGTCAACTAATATTGTAAACTTCATCACAAATTGAAATATTTTATTCTTTTGTGGTGATGATTTCATTGTGAATCTATTTCAAATATGATTTCATTGTGAATCTATTTTAACATGGTAGTGACTTTCCTACAGATCGTCGGTGAAGGATTAAGCCACTAGAATCACTAGATCATGGACGAAAATCTCATCAACACGATTTGCGGAGCATTGTTACTAAAAATGCTGAACGATTCATGATAAAAGGATCGCGAATCTATCGAGTAAAGCTTCTCCGATTGATCGACGAACAAGCCGTCGTCGAGAAGAGGACGATCCACTGGGAGATGAGTCGCCACCTCTTGAGAGCGTACTGACGTGACTCAGTCGTTGTATATTAAATCACGCAAATCTAAAATTTATAAAACTAGAAAATACGAATTTCCGGATATTTAGAAGTATTTATAAATAAATATATCAATTATAATTCAATAAAAGTTCCAAAAATAGCGGTAATTTCCCAGGTCGATCACAGGGATGTAATATAATATTTTGTAATTATTTAGAGTTTTTCTCAATGAATACGATTTTCTATGAATTTTATACTAGGAAATGAAAAGGAAATATATTTAAAATTCACGAAAAAAAAAGAGGAAATAAGGGTGCGGACGACAGGATGACGTCAGCGCCCGGCGAACGCGAATCGGGCGGAAACAGAGTTCCGCCCGGCGATTCTTACGTAAGCGATTACAGACGATTTAATTAATCAAATTAAGATCTGTAAAAGCCGGAAGAATCGTAATTGAACGAAGTATAGTTTGGTAAATTAAAATCACACAAAGTATCACTAAATAAAGCGTAAATTAAATTGAAAGCAGGAAACCAGAGTTCCGGCGTCGCGATGGCGATGCGTCAGCGATGCACCGGAATCCTGAGCGTTCGGGAGGATCGTCATGCAGTGTCCACGGCCTCGAAGGCTCTCCTTGGACAAAGACGACGTGGGCAATCTCTAGATCTTCTCGCGAAGTCTAGAGATCAATGAAGTGGGTCGTCGAGTCGTCTCCGGCGGCTGTCACCCGGCGGAGCGGAAAAACGGCGACTTTGCGGCTCTCCGGCGGCTGTCACCCGACGGAGAGGAGCTGGATGGAGGTGGGGCGCGTGTCAGGGAGCTTCATCCTCAGGTCCGCGCAGCAAGGGGAGGCTCTTCATCGCATCTGGTACGCTCTCAGGAGGTGGCGACTCGTCTCCCGGCGGATCGTCCTCTTCCCGACGACGGCTTGTTCGTCGATCAATCGGAGATGATTTACTCGATGGATTGCGATCCTTTTATCGCGAATCGTTCAGCAATTTTAGTAGCAATGCTCCGCGAATCGCGTTGACGAGATTTTCGCCGATGATCCAGCGATTCCGGTTGCTTAATCCTTCACCGGCGATCTGCAGGAAAGTCGCGATAATCAGTTAAAAATATATGAATTTTGACTCTGGGAGGATTCGAACCCGCGGCGGTCGCCCGCCCCTGAACAAGGTGTGACGCGGGTTTAGTCCCACATCGGTTGTGCGCGGATTATTCGGGCGAATATATAGTAAAGTTAGCTTTCTAGGCAAAGTCCTCTCGCGTGTACGACCACTCCTTGCCCCACAGCCGGCTGACCACCGGTGACGTGGAAGGGGAGTGGCGCACACGTGCCCCTATCGATCCAAGCAAGCCGCTCGAGCCCCTGCTCGCGGCTACTCCCCGACTGCGCTTCCGACCCGCTTGCGGGCCCGGCTGGCCGGCGAATCCCCCCATTTTGCAATATTTTTATTTTTATTTCTTGTTCTTCATTTATCTCAAAACTAAGACTGTAAAAATCGTATAAAATCACATAATTACCCAAAAATTCACGTTAATCAACTGAAAACCACTTTTCATGCTTTAACACAAATATAAGTCTATTTATCATGAGTTAAGGCTAAAACTATATTATTTACTAATTATTAACTCATGATAATGAAGACTTATCACGTACCGGTTGTAATGAAGAGCCTCTTCTTGCTACGCAGACTTGAGGATGAAGCTCTCTGACACACGCTCCACCTCCATCCAGCTCTTCTCCCTTGGGTGACAACCGTCGTAGAGCCGCAAAGTCGTCATTTTTCTGCTCAGTCGGGTGATAGCTGCTAGAGACGGACGACCCATTTCATTGATCTTTAGACTTCGCAAGGAGATCTAGAGATTGCCCACGTCGTCCTTGTCCAAGGAAAGCCTTCGAGGCCGTGGACACTACACGACAATCCTCCCGAACGCTCAGGATTCTGGTGCATCGCCGACACATCGCCGCCGCGACGCGAAACTCTATTTTCCTACTTTCAACTTAATTTCTGCTTCATTTAGTGATAATTTGTGTCATTTAAATTTCTACTTCATTCAATTACGATTCTTCCGACTTTTACAGATCTTAATTTGATCAATTAAATCGTATGTAATCGCTTATGTAAGAATCACCGGGTGGAAATCTATTTCTGTACGATTCGCGTTCGTGGGGCGCTGATACCATCCTGACATCTCCACCCTTATTTTCCTTTCTTCATGAATTTTAAATATATTTAATTTTCATTTCCTAGTATAAAATTCATAGAAAATAGTATTCTTTGAGGAAAATTCTGAATAATTACCTGATATTATATTACATCCCTGTGATCAACTTGAAAAACTACCACTATTTTTAGAAGTTTTATTGAATTATAATTGATATATTTGTTCAGAAATACTTTTAAATATCCAAAAATTTGTATTTTCTAGTTTTATAAATTTTAAATTTACGTGATTTACTATACAACAAATAAGTCACATCAAATCTTGGCACCGTTACTAGGGATGTATTGTATAATATTTAGTATTTTTCTATTTTTCTCTTAGAGTACACAAAAAAAATAATTCTTATTTTTTTTCTTTTTGTCGAACTTTTTTTTTATAAAAAAAAAGGGAATGAAGAGAAGCAAGTCAAGGACTAGAGCATACTGAAGGAGGGTAACAGTTACTAAACTTTTTCCCTCGAATTTATTGATTTTTATGCATGGTAGAAGATCCTTGCATCCAAGGCTAGAAAATCCTTTCATTCTTTCATTCAAAACTAAAAATCCAAAAGAAATATTAATTTTGATAGATCTTGAAGGAAGTACAGGTCAAAGTGAAAACAATCCTATGGCCATGAAAAATCATTATATCCCTGATTCATTTCAAAGAGCATCCAATATTAGAGTCCTATTAGCACTCACTATTAAATTTGAAATAAATCCAGAAAATTTTCAAATACTCTCTAATTTTCATGGATTGCCTTTAGAGGAACCTCATCAGTACTTAGAAAAATTTCATATGGTCTATGATTTAGTTAATCTCCCTCAAGTTACACCGAAAATTATTAAGATGAAATTATTTCTTCGTACACTTAGGGACAAAGTTAGTCATTAGCTATCCACATTAGATAGAGAATTAACTAACTGGAAAGACATAGAATAGGCTTTTTTTCAAAAAATTTATCCTTTAAGAAAAACTCAAAATATGAGAAAACATATATGGAGTTTTTCTCAAAGACTAGAAGAAACTTTACATGAGACATGGGAAAAATTCAAAGATTTACTTAGAAAGTGTCCTCATCATGTTATACCCAAGTGGCAGCTCAATAGAATTTTTTATGATGAATTATTAGAACAACACAGAAATATGGTTGATTCTATATGTAGAAGAAATTTTATGGAGAAAACCCCTGATGAGATTTATAGTCTTTATGAGAATTTAAGTAAAAAATCTTGAGATCAAGCCTCTTTTGAATTATATGACATGGATAAGAAGAGAGAAATTTATGAATTACATCATGATGATGATTCTAAATTAAGAAATGAGGTTAATCAGATTAATCAAAGATTAGAAAATTTTAATTTACTTATTGACAATATTAGAAAGCCTCTTCTTAACCTTCAATTTAATTCAAATAGTACATGTCCTATGTATGGTAAAAATAATTATTCTGAATTTCAATGCTATAATTGAGATCAATCATTTCATCCTATGTAAGAACAAGTGCAAGTAGCTCACAGTTTTAATAGAAATAGGGAGCCTTTTTTTAAATTCTTATAATTATAATTGGAGGAATAATTTTTCATGGAAAGACCCAAATAATATTCAAAATCCAGAAACACTTAGACTCAATTCAAACTCTGAATTTCGTCCAAAATAAGAAAATAGATTTTAGAAAAATCAGCCCTCTCAAACCCAACCTGATACTATGGAAATGATGTAGCAAATAAGCCAAATGATGCTACAAACTATGAATAAAATGATGCTGCAGTAGAAATAAATTATAGAGGCTCTTGGGAATAAGAGAGAAAAGGGACAACTACCTAGTCAGCCCATAGAAAATCCAAGGAACTGCCTAACAATAGGATTTCAACAAGGGGAGTCTAGTAGCATGAATCTAGGAAAAAACCCACAAAATGAAAATGTTAGGACAGTGAATGCATTGAGTGGTAAGATCTTACCTGATCCTTATCCCAAAACATTAGAAGAAAAGAAAAACGTGGACAGCCCAAAACAAAATCAAATAGGAGTAGAAGAGGATTTTATAGATTCTTGATGTGACTCAGTCGTTGTATATTAAATCACGCAAATATAAAATTTATAAAACTAGAAAATATGAATTTTCGGATATTTAGAAGTATTTCTAAACAAATATATCAATTATAATTCAATATAAGTTACAAAAATAGTAGTAATTTTCCAGGTCGATCATAGGGATGTAATATAATATCTGGTAATTATTCAGAATTTTCCTCAAAGAATACTATTTTCTATGAATTTTATACTAAGAAATGAAAAGGAAATATATTTAAAATTCACAAAGAAAGGAAATAAGGGTGCGGGCATCAAGATGATGTCAGCGCTCAGCGAACGCGAATTGGGCAGAAACAGAGTTCCGCCTGGCAATTCTTACATAAGCAATTACAAACGATTTAATTGATCAAATTAAGATCAGTAAAAGACGGAAGAATCGTAATGAAATGAAGTATATGTTGGTAAATTTAAAATCAACAAATTATCACTAAATGAAATGAAAATTAAGTTGAAAGTAGGAAAATAGAGTTCCGGCGTTGCGACGGCGATGCGTCGGCGATGCACTGGAATCCTGAGCGTTCGGGAGGATCGTCGTGCAGTGTCCACGGCCTCAAAGGCTCTCCTTGGACAAAGATGACATGGGCAATCTCTAGATCTTCTCGCAAAGTCTAGAGATCAATGAAATGGGTCGTCGAATCGTCTCCGGTGGCTGTCACCCGGCGGAGCAGAATAACAGCGACTTTGCGGCTCTTCGGCAGTTGTCACCTGATGGAGAGGAGCTGGATGGAGGTGGGGCGCGTGTTAAGGAGCTTCATCCTCAGGTCCGCACAGCAAGAGGAGGCTCTTCATCGCATCTGGTATGCTCTGAAGTGGTGGCGACTCGTCTCCCGACGGATCGTCCTCTTCCCGACGACGGCTTGTTCATCGATCAATTGGAGATGATTTACTCGATGGATTCGCGATCCTTTTATCACGAATCGTTCAACAATTTTAGTAGCAATGTTCCGCGAATCACGTTGACAAGATTTTCGTCGATGATCTAGCGATTCTCGTTGCTTAATCCTTCACTGGCGATCTGTAGGAAAGTCGTGATAATCAGATAAAAATATATGAATTTTGACTCTGGGAGGATTCGAACTTGCGCCGGTTGTCCGCCCCTTCTGAGGAAGGTGTGACGTGGGTTTAGTCCCACATCGGTTGTGCTCTGATTTTTCGGGCGAATATATAGTAATGTTAGCTTTCTAAGCAAAGTTCCTTCTCTCGCGTGTACGACCACTCCTTGCCCCACAGCCGGCTGGTCACTGGTGACGTGGAAGGGGAGTGGCGCACACGTTGTCCCTATCGGTCCAAGCTGCTCGAGCCCCTGCTCGCGGCTACTCCTCGACTGAGCTTCCGACCCGCTTGCGGGCCCGGCTGGCCGGCGGGTCCCCCACTCATTTTGTCTTATTTTTATTTATTTTTCTTCATTTATCTCAAAAGCAAGACTGTAAAAATCATATAAATTCATGTAAAATCACATAATTACCTAAAAATTAACATTAATCAACTGAAAACTACTTTTCACACTTTAACACAAATATAAGTCTATTTATCATGAGTTAAGGCTAAAACTATATTATTTACTAATTATTAACTCATGATAATGAAGACTTATCAATCATCGTGCAATGTCCACAGCCTCAAAGGCTCTTCTTGGACAAGGACGACGTGAACAATCTCTAGCTCTCCTTGCGAAGTCTAGAGATCAATGAAATGGGTCATTAAATCATCTTCGGCGGTTGTCACCTGACAAAGAGAAAAAACAACGACTTTGTGGCTCTCCGGCAGCTGTGACCTGACAAAGAGGCGCTAGATGGAGGTGAGGCGCGTGTCAAGGAGCTTCATCATTAGGTTCACACAGCAAAAGGAGGCTCTTCATTGCATTCGGTATGCTCTCAAAAGGTGGCAACTCGTCTCTCGACGGATCGTCCTCTTCCCGACGACGACTTGTTCATCGATCAATCGGAGATGCTTTACTTGATGGATTCACGATTCTTTTATCATGAATTGTTCAACAATTTAAGTAACAATGCTCCGCGAATCGCATTAATGAGATTTTTGCTGATGATCCTACAATTCTCGTGGCTTAATCCTTCACCGACGATCTACAAGAAAGTCACGATAATTAGATAAAAAATATGACTTTTAGCTCTGGGAGGATTCGAACCATTGCCGGTTGCTCGCCCTTTCTGGGGAAGGTGTGACGTGAGTTTAGTCCCACATCGTTTATGCGTCAAAGTTTCTAGCGAATATATAGTAATAATATATTTGCAATAAAGTCCCTTTCTCGCGTGTGTACGACCACTCCTTGCCCCACAGCTGGCTGGCCACCAATGATGTGGAAGAGGAGTGGCGCACACAAGCCCCTATCGTTCTTAGCCGCTCAAGCCCCTACTTGCGGCTCCTCCCCGATTGTGCTTCTGACCTGCTTGTGGGCTCCGCTGGCTGGCGGGTTCCCCCTATTTTGTCTTATTTTATTTTTATTTCTTTTTCATAATTTATCTCAAAAGTAAAACTATAAAATCATATAAATTCTTATAAAATCACATAATTACCCAACAATTTACGTTAATCAACTGAAAACCACTTTTCACACTTTAACACAAATATAAGTCTATTTATCATGAGTTAAGGCTAAAACTATATTATTTACTAATCATTAACTCATGATAATAAAAACTTATCACACCCCCGAACTTAAATCATTGCTAGTCCCTTAGCATTGTAATTACGAAAATAAAAATTTACGAATCTCAAAAATTATATTTAAATACATAAAAAAAAAATACAATTAGAAATGATGCACCTTTAGACACTTTGGACTCTTATATCAAGTATTTAAGAATGATGTCAAGCACTTAAATGTTTATGCACTCCTTGAAATAACAATTTAGACTTCACTTCTTCTATTCACATCTTTATTACTTTTTCACTCATAGATATATTTAGAAGATGTTCCAATTATCAATACTCATCCAAGAATAATATTGATCCTACATTTCCTTTTTTTCATGGATTGATTTTTAAAGTTTGCATTATATTTCTTCCTTCTTTTTTTTTATATATATATAGTGGATAAGTAGCTTTTCCTGTAGACAAATTTTGACAATAAGAATGATGTCTCACACCCTCCATGTGTACTCTTAATTTTCAGGGCTTTCACTTTATCCACTTATTTTGCAGCAAGTGTTTTTCTATGCACGATTTTTGACAATGAGAATGATGTCTCACACCCTCCATGTGTACTCTTCGTTTCTAGATTTTTCACATTACTCTTTGTCTTTTTTTTCTGAAATAAGTGATTTCTCCTCACAAGTCTTATAGATTAGGGTGCAAAAATCTTTATTAAACTCAAATGATCAATCAAATTTTCACATCAAGTAAATATTATCTATCAAGATCATGAAGTGAAAATCTGTAAAATCAAATTCATGTTATCTATCATGTATCCAAGGAGTATTCCAACATTTCATGCTATTAGATCACTCTTTTGACTCAATAATAATCTTCCTTGTATCTTTTGGTATCAATCAATCTAATTGATTTAATTTTTCATGCATGTAATATGATGTAAGAAATTTGTAAATTAGATAGTTCTAATAGTTATATTTTCTCTTTTCAATTCTATTTTTAGCAACAATAAATTTGTCAAAAATAAATCAAAACTATTCTCTTTATAGCTATAATTTTGGAATTTCAGTAATATATGTCTAGGGGATTGAAATGTGAGAAAAGGGTCTCTAAAATTTCAAAATTTGGACTGTTTTTTGTTTCTTATTTTTGACAGTTTGTTGTTCTTGACAGAAAACCAGAAAATAGATGTTATAGTTTTTCTGAATTTTATTTTATTTTTTTAGTTCCTGTTCTAAGTGAGCATGAAAAAATAAAAATAAAATGTAAACACATGTTCTTAATCATCTTACAGCATAAATTAATAATTAATACTTCAACCCCTAACTTAAAAATGACATTGTTCTCAATGACATAGAAAAATAAGAACAAAATATGCAGAAAATATAATTTTCAAGTGAAGCATGTATATATACAAAGTTAATCATTAAAAATATTGTCATAAATGATAAAGCTCAGAAAGACATCACCTCAACCTCATTTTTAATTTTCCACCTCATCTTACACTCCTGCACTTTTTCCAAAAAAACAAATACAAAAACAAGTACTATGAAATTCTAAGAAAACCAGAGCTTAAAAAATTCAAATAGAATGAAATAAAAACCATGAGTTGCCTCCCATGCAGCGCTGAATTTAATGTCTCCAACTAGACACCTTGATCTTACTCTTGAATTTTTTTTTATAATAAAATTTCTTTTTCTACAAGGCATTCATGTTCTATGTAATGTTTAAGTCGTTGTCCATTTACCTTAAAGTTATGGTCACTTTTAAGATCTTTAATCATTATAGCCCCATGATCATATGTCTCTTCCACCACATAAGGCCCTGTCCATTTTGATTTTAATTTTCTTGGGAATAATTTCAGCCTAGAATCATATAACCACACTTTTTGTCCAACATCAATTTTTTTTCTGCTAACGTATTTATCATGAAAAGTTTTAGTTTTTTCTTTATATATTCTATGATTTTCAGAAGCTTCATTCCTCAACTCCTCTAGTTCATGTAGCTGAAAAATTCTATGCCCACCAGCTGATTTTTCGTCCATACATCTATTTTTTAATGCCCATTATGCTTTATGCTCTATTTCCACAAGAAGATGAGATGGCTTTCCAAAAATGAGACAAAATGGGGACATACCCATGGGATTTTTATAAGCTATTCTATGAGCTCATAATGCATCTTGTAATTTTGTGGGCCAATCTTTCCTATCTGGTCTAACTATTTTTCTCAAAATTATTTGAATTTCCCTATTTGCTACTTCAGCTTACCCATTTGTTTGGGGATGATATGGAGTGGCTACTCTATGGTGTACTCCATTCTTTTTCAATAGTTCCTTAAAATGTTTATTTGTAAAATATGTTCCTTCATCATTAATAATCACTCTAGGACATCCAAATCTCGAAAAAATATTTTCCTGCACAAATTTCATCACGATTTTATGATCATTAGTTCTAGTAGGAATAACTTCCACCCACTTCGACACATAATCAATAGCAAGCAAAATATATTCATATTTTTCAGCTGATGGGAAGTGACCCATGAAATCTATTCCCCATACATCAAAAATTTCGACTACTAACATGTTACTCATGGGCATTTCATCTTTTTTACTCATGTTACCTATAGATTGGCATGAAATACATGTTCTACTAAATTCTATAGAATCTCTAATAATTGTAGGCCAATAAAAACCACACTGAAAATTTTTCGCAGCTGTTTTTTCTCAAGAGAAATGTCCTCCATAGTTTGATGAACAACACATGTTAATAATGCTATGATATTCTTCTTTAGGAACACATCTCCCTAAAATTTGATCATTGCCTAAGTAATATAAATCAAGATCATGCCAAAAATAATTTCTAATCTTAGAAAAGAAATGATGTTTTCTGTTCTTATCCCACTACTCTAAAATTTTTCCAGAAACCAGAAAGTTAACAATATGTGCATACCATGGTGATGGTTGATGTTGAGCTGCCATCAATTGTTCATCTAGAAATGCGTCTTGTAAAAGTGCTGCATTTATTCCTGTATCACTTAATCTAGAAAGATGGTCAGCAACAACATTCTCAAAACTTTTTTTATCTTTTATTTCTAAGTCAAATTCCTACAACAATAAAATTCATCTTAATAAACGTGACTTTACATCTTTCTTATTTAACAAATATTTTAATATTGCATGATCAGTATAAATAATAATTTTAGCTCCCAAAATATATGAGCTAAACCTTTCTAACAAAAATACTATAGCTAACAACTTTTTTTCAGTCGTGGTATAATTTAATTGAGCATCAGATATAGTTTTATTAGCATATGAAATTACTATAGGTTTTGACTCTTTTGTTTGTCATAGAATGGCCCCCACTGCATAATTCGATACATCACACATTATTTCAAAAGGAAAGGACTAATCAGGAGCTTGTAAAATGAGTGCCTCAGTAAGTAATCTTTTTATTTCAGAAAAGACTCAAAACATTTATCATCAAAATTAAAAGGCACATCTTTAGATAATAACATGGTAAGAGGTTTAGAAATTTTCAAAAAATATTGAATAAATTTTCTATAATAACCTGCATGACCTAAGAAAGATCTAATCTGTTTTACTAAATTTGGAGGTTTCATTTTAGATATAATATCAATTTTTGCTCTATCCACCTCTAAACCCCTTTCACTCACAATATGACTCAACACAACTCCCTCTCTAACCATAAAATGTGATTTCTCCTAACTCAAAACTAATTTTTTCTCTATACATTTCTCAAGTACATGTTGTAAATGATTTAAGCATTCATCAGATGATTCAACAAAAATAGAAAAATCGTCCATAAAAATTTCCATGCATTTTCTAGTCACATCAGAAAAAATAGACAGCATACATCTTTGAAATGTGGCTAGAGCATTACACAGACCAAAAGGCATGCATTTAAAAGCAAAAGTACAAAATGGACAAGTGAAAGTTATTTTTCTTGATCTAAAGGGTTTATATAAATGTGATTATAACTAGAGTTTCCATCTAGAAAAAAAAAGTTTTTTCCAACTAATTTTTCTAGAATTTGATGAGTAAATGATAGAGGAAAATGATCTTTTCTAGTAACTGAATTTAATTTTATATAATTAACACAAACCCTCCAACCGGTAGTTAATCTTGTTTGTATTTCATCCCCATTTTCATCTTTTAGAACAACGATCCCTAATTTTTTTGGCACCACTTGTGTAAGACTAACCCATTTGCTATCTGAAATAGGATAAATAATATCAGTAGCCAGACACTTAAATATTTTTTTTTTTACAATTTTCATCATGTTAGGATTTAATCTTCGTTGTGGTTCCCTACTAGTTCTAGCCCCCTCCTTTAGATATATACTATGTATGCATACACTCATATAAATGCCCCTTAGATCATCCATTTTCCAGCCCATAGCCTTCTTATTTTTTCAAAGTATATCTAATAATTTTTCTTCCTGTTCATCACTCAAATCAGCTGCAATAATAATAGGAAATGAATTATTTTCCTCCAAAAATATATATTTTAAACTAGAGGAAAGAGGTTTCAACTCTAAATTCAGATGATCTTCCTCTTTCTTTTCTCCCAAATTTATATTCTCTATTTCTCTAATTCTTCTAGCACACAATCATCAATAAAATTTGGATCATCAAAATCATCTAGAAGATCTATGGTATGACAATAATATACTTGGGATTTCTTAAGATCATTTGATACCTCAAAAATTTTAATTTCTACTAATTGATCTCCACATGAAATATTCACAATACTTGTGAGAAAATCAATATTCATCTTTTTTGTATGTAAAAATGGTCTCCCTAAGATGATTGGTGTATTATAAAACTGTCCATTAAAATCTATTTCTAGCACTACAAAATCAATTGAAAATTTACACCCTTTAACTGTCACTATCACATTTTTTAAAATACTTTTAAGATGTTTTATGGATCTATCAGTAAATTGTAAGGTAATAGTAGAAGGTTTAAGATCAGCAATATTAAATTTATCACAAATACTTACAAGTAATAAATTAATACAAGCACTAGTGTCAAGTAATGTATTCTGAAAAATGGATCCACCAATATCACACGAAATTAAAGGGGCACCCATATCTCTCAATTTATATGGTAATTGATTTAATAATAAAGCACTATCATACATAGATAATTTTTCTACTCTAGGTGCCCTTTTTGGTGTACACATTTCTTTCAAAACTCTAGCATATTCAGGAATATGTTCAATGGCAGTGAGTAAAGGAAGACTAATTTGCACATCTTGTAAAATTTTCCTTATTTTTTCATTGTGTTCCTTTTTCTTTCTTTGTCTAGGCTCTAGAGCTTGAGGAAATGGAATGGTTGTCCTCTCTTTCAAAATTTTCTTTGTAGAATGTATAAAATCCTCTTCTACTCCTATTTGATTTTGTTTTGGGCTGTCCACGTTTTCTTTTTCTTCTAATGTTTGGGGATAAGGATCAAGTAAGATCTTACCACTCCTTAATGCATTCACTGTCCTAACATTTTCATTTCGTGGGTTTTTTCCTAGATTCATGCTACTAGACTCCCCTTGCTGAAATCCTATTGCTAGGCAGTTCCTTAGTTTTCTATGGGCTGACTAGGTAGTTCTCCCTTTCTCTCTTATTCCCAAGAGCCTCTATAATTTGTTTCTGCTGCAGCATCATTTGATTCATAGTTTGTTGCATCATTTGGCTTATTTGCTGCATCATTTCCATAGTATCAGGTTGGGTTTGAGAGGACTGATTTTTCTGAAATCTGTTTTCTTGTTTTGGACAAAATTACGAGTTTGAATTGAGTCTAAGTGCTTCTGAATTTTGAATATTATTTGGGACTTTCCATGAAAAATTATTCTTTCAATTAGGATTATAAGACCATGATCTACTTGTACTTGTTCTTGCATAGGGTGAAATGATTGATCTAAACTACAGCATTGAAATTCAAAATAATCATTGTTACCATACATAGGACGTATTATTTGAATTAAATTGAGGGCTAAGAGGCTTTCTAATATTGTCAATAAGTAAATTAAAATTTTCTAATCTTTCATTAATCTAATTAACCTCATTTCTTAATTTAGAATCATCATCATGATGTAATTCATAAATTCCTCTCTTCTTATCTTTGTCATATAATTCAAAAGAGGCTTGATCTTTAAAATTTTCACTTAAATTTTCATAAAGACTATAAATCTCATCAGGGGTTTTTTCCATAAAATTTCCTCCACATATAGAATCAACCATATTTCTATATTGTTCTAATAATCCATCATAAAAAATTCTATTGAACTGCCACTTGGGTATAGCATGATGAGGACATTTTCTAAGTAAATCTTTGAATGTTTCCCATGTCTCATGTAAAGTTTCTCTTGGTCTTTGAGAAAAACTCCATATATGTTTTCTCATATTTTGAGTTTTACCTAAGGGATAAAATTTTCGAAGAAAAGCCTGTTCTATGTCCTTCTAGCTAGTTAATTCTCTATCTAATGTGGATAGTCAATGACTAGCTTTGTCCCTAAGTGTATGAAAAAATAATTTCATCTTAATAATTTCCGGTGTAACTTGAGGGAGATTAACTAAATCACAGACCATATGAAAATTTTCTAAGTGTTGATGAGGTTCCTCTAAAGGCAATCCATGAAAATTAAGGAGCATTTGAAAAATTCCTGGATTTCTTTTGAATTGAATAGTGGGTGCTAATAGGACTCTAATATTTTGATGCTCTTTGAAATGAATAAGGGATATAATGATTTTTCATGGCCATAGGATTGTTTTCAGTTTGACTTGTACTTCCTTCAAAATCCATCAAAATTAATATTTCTTTCGGATTTTTAGTTTTGACTGAAAGAATGAAAGGATTTTCTAGCCTTGGATGCAAGGATCTTCTACCATGCACAAAAAATAAATAAACTTGAGGGAAAAAGTTTAGTAATTTCTACCCTCCTTCAGTATGCACCAGTCCTTGCCTTGTTTCTCTTCGTTTCCTTCTTTTTTTTAAAAAAAATATTGGCAAGAAGAAAATAAAATAAAAGTTAGTTTTTTTGTGTACTCTAAGAGAAAAATAGAAAAATACTAAATATTATGTAATACATCCCCAGCAACGGTGCCAAGATTTGATGTGACTTAGTCGTTGTATAGTAAATCACGTAAAGTTAAAATTTATAAAACTAGAAAATACAAATTTTTAGATATTTAGAAGTATTTCTGAACAAATATATCAATTATAATTTAATAAAACTTCGAAAAATAGTGGTAGTTTTCCAGATCGATCACAGGGATGTAATATAATATCAAGTAATTATTCAGAATTTTCTTCAAAGAATACAATTTTCTATGAATTTTATACTAGGAAATGAAATTAAATATATTTAAAATTCACAAAAAAAGGGAAATAAGGGTACGGATGTCAGGATGGCGTCAATGCCCGGCGAATGCGAATCGGGTAGAAACAGAGTTCCGCCCAGTGATTCTTACATAAGCGATTACATATGATTTAATTGATCAAATTAAAATCTGTAAAAGTCGGAAGAATGATAATTGAATGAAGCATAAATTTAAATGACACAAATTATCACTAATGAAGCAAAAATTAAGTTGAAAGTAGGAAAATAGAGTTCCGGCGTTGGGGCGGCAATACGTCAGCGATGCACCAGAATCCTGAGCGTTTGGGAGGATCGTCGTGTAGTGTCCAAGGCCTTGAAGACTCTCCTTAGACAAGGATGACATGGGCAATCTCTAGATCTCCTTGCGAAGTCTAGAGATCAATTAAATGGGTCATCGAATCTCTCTGGCGGTTGTCACTTGACGGAGTAGAAAAATGATGACTTTGCAGCTCCTCGGCTGCTGTCACTCGAGGGAGAAGAGTTGGATGGAGGTGGGGCACGTGTCAAGGAGCTTCATCCTCAAGTCCGCGTAGCAAGAGGAGGCTCTTCATTGCATCCGGTACACTCTCAAGAGGTAGCGACTCATCTCCTAGTGGATCGTCCTCTTTCTGATGATGGCTTGTTCGTCGATCAATTGGAGATGCTTTACTCAATGAATTTGCGATCCTTTTATCATGAATCGCTCAACAATTTTAGTAACAATGCTCTGCGAATTGTATTGACGAGGTTTTTGTCGATGATCTAGCAATTCTAGTAGCTTAATCCTTCACCGACGTTGTGCAGAAAAGTCGCGATAATCAGATAAAAAATATGAGTTTTGGCTCATGGAAGATTTGAACCTGCACTAGTTGCCCGCCCGTTCTATGGAAGGTGTGATGTGAGTTTAGTTCGACATCGCTTGTGCGCCAAAGTTTATGGTGAATATATAGTAATATTATATTTGCAATCAAGTCCCTTTCTTGCGCGTGTACGACCACTCTTTGCCCCATAGCCAGCTGGCCACCGGTGATGTGGAAGGGGAGTGGCACACACGTGCCTCCATCAGTTCAAGTCGCTCGAGCCCCTACTCACAGCTCCTCCTAACTGCTCGCGAGCTAGCGAGAGCAAAGGAGCTGACGTGACTTAGTCGTTGTATATTAAATCACGCAAATATAAAATTTATAAAACTAGAAAATACGAATTTTTTGATATTTAGAAGTATTTCTGAACAAATATATCAATTATAATTCAATAAAATTTTTCAAAAATAGCAGTAATTTTCCAGGTTGATCATAGGGATGTAATATAATATCTAGTAATTATTCAGAATTTTCCTCAAAGAATACTATTTTCTATGAATTTTATACTAAGAAATGAAAAGGAAATATATTTAAAATTCACAAAAAAAGGAAATAAGGGTGCGGGCATCAAGATGACGTCAGCGCCCAGCGAACGCGAATCGGGCGGAAACATAGTTCCGTCCGGCGATTCTTACGTAAGCGATTACACACAATTTAATTGATCAAATTAAGATCTATAAAAGACGGAAGAATCGTAATGAAATGAAGTATATGTTGGTAAATTTAAAATCAACAAATTATCACTAAATGAAATGAAAATTAAGTTGAAAGCAGGAAAATAGAGTTCCGGCGTCGTGACGGCATGCGTCGGCGATGCACCAGAATCTTGAGCGTTCGAGAGGATCGTCGTGCAGTGTCCACGGCCTCAAAGGCTCTCCTTAGACAAAGATGACATGGGCAATCTCTAGATCTTCTCGCGAAGTCTAGAGATTAATGAAATGGGTCGTCGAGTCGTCTCTGGCAGCTGTCACCTGGCGGAGCGGAAAAACAGCGACTTTGCGGCTCTCCGGCAGTTGTCACCTAATGGAGAGGAGCTGGATGGAGGTGGGGCACGTGTCAGGGAGCTTCATCCTCAGGTCCACGCAACAAGAGGAGGCTCTTCATCGCATCTAGTATGCTCTCAGGAGGTGGCGACTCGTCTCCCAGCGGATTGTCCTCTTCCTTACGACAGCTTGTTCGTCGATCAATCGGAGATGATTTACTTGATAGATTTGTGATCCTTTTATCACGAATCGTTCAGCAATTTTAGTAGCAATGCTCCGTGAATCGTGTTGACGAGATTTTCGCCGATGATCCAGCAATTCTGGTTGCTTAATCCTTCACTGGTGATCTGCAAGAAAGTCACGATAATTAAATAAAAATATATGAATTTTAACTCTAGAAGGACTCGAACCCACGCCAGTCGCCCACCTCTTCTGAGGAAGGTGTGATGCGGGTTTAGTCCCACATCGGTTGTGTGCCGATTTTTTGGGCGAATATATAGTAATGTTGGCTTTCTAAGCAAAGTCCCTTCTCTTGCGTGTATGACCACTCCTTGCCCCACAGCCGGCTGGCCACTAGTGGCGTGGAAGGGGAGTGGCGCACACGTGCCCCTATCGGTCCAAGCCGCTCGAGCCCCTACTCGCGACTAGCCCCCGACTAAGCTTCCGACCTGCTTGCGGGCCCGGCTGGCCGGCGGGTCCTCCATTTTATAATATTTTTATTTTTATTTCTTGTTCTTTATTTATCTCAAAAGTAAGACTATAAAAATCATATAAATTCATGTAAAATCACATAATTACCTAAAAATTCACATTAATCAACTGAAAACCACTTTTCATACTTTAACACAAATATAAGTCTATTTATCATGAGTTAAGGCTAAAACTATATTATTTACTATTTATTAACTCATGATAATGAAGACTTATCAGGAGCAGTAGATTGAGAAAGAGTGGGAGAGAATGAGAGAGATGATTGGACAGAATGGGATATATATACGGCCAAGATTCAAAGGCGCGCCAAGGCATACTTCCCGCCAACAGTCATTGACGTGACTCAGTCGTTGTATATTAAATCACACAAATATTAAATTTATAAAACTAGAAAATACAAATTTTCGGATATTTAGAAGTATTTCTGAACAAATATATCAATTATAATTCAATAAAATGTCCAAAAATAGCGGTAATTTTCCAATTCAATCATAGGGATGTAATATAATATCTGGTAATTATTCAGAATTTTCTGCAAAGAATACTATTTTCTATGAGTTTCATACTAGGAAATGAAAAGGAAATATATTTAAAATTCATGGAAAAAGGAAATAAGGGTGTGGACATCAAGATGACGTTAGCGCCCGGCGAACGCGTATCAGGTGAAAATAGAGTTCCGCCTGGCGATTCGTACGTAAGTAATTACAGATGATTTAATTGATCAAATTAAGATCTGTAAAAGCCGGAAGAATTGTAATGAAATGAAGTATATTTAGGTAAATTTAAAATCAACAAACTATCACTAAATGAAATGTAAATTAAGTTGAAAGCAGGAAAATAGAGTTCCGACGTCACGACGATGATGCGTCAGCGATGCACCGGAATCCTGAGCATTCGGGAGGATAGTCGTGCAGTGTCCATGGCCTCAAAGGCTCTCCTTGGACAAGGACGATGTGGGCAATCTCTAGATCTCCTTGCGAAGTCTAGAGATCAATGAAATGGGTCATCGAATCGTCTCTGACAGCTGTCACCCGGCGTAGTGGAAAAACGGCAACTTTGTGGCTCTCTGGCGGCTGTCACCCGGCGGAGTGGAAAAACGGCGACTTTGTGGCTCTCTGGCGGTTGTCACTTAGTGGAGCAGAAAAATGGCACCTTTGTGGCTCTTCGGCGGCTGTCACCCGACGGAGAGGAGCTGGATGGAGGTGGGGTGCGTGTCATGGAGCTTCATCCTCAGGTCCGCGCAGCAAGAGGAGGCTCTTCATCGCATCTGATACGCTCTCAAGAGGTGGCGACTTGTCTCCCGGCAAATCGTCCTCTTCCCGACGACGGCTTGTTCGTCGATCAATCAAAGATGCTTTACTCGATGGATTCGCGATCCTTTTATCGCAAATCGTTCAGTAATTTTAGTAACAATGTTTCGCGAATCGTGTTGATGAGATTTTCGCCGATGATCTAGTGATTCTAGTTGCTTAATCCTTCACCGACGATCTGCATGAAAGTTGTGATAATCAGATAAAAAAATATGTGTTTTAGCTCTAGGAGGATTCAAACTCGTGTCGGTAGCCCGCCCATTCTTGGGAAGGTGATGCGGGTTTAGTCCCACATCAGTTGTGTGCCGAAGTTTCTGGCGAATATAAAGTAATATTACATTCCCAATCAAGCGCGTGTGTACGACCACTCCTTGCCCCACAGCTAGCTGGCCACCAGTGATGTGGAAGGGGAGTGGCGCACATGTGCCTCCATCGGTTCAAGCTGCTCGAGCCCTTGCTCGCGGCTACTTCCTGACTGCGCTTCCAACCCACTCGTGGGTCCGGCTGGCCGGCGGGTCCCCCCATTTTGCAATATTTTTATTTCTATTTCTTGTTCTTCATTTATCTCAAAAGTAAAACTGTAAAAATCATATAAATTTGTATAAAATCACATAATTACCCAAAAATTCACATTAATCAATTGAAATCAACTTTTCACACTTTAACACAAATATAAGTCTATTTATCATGAGTGAAGGCTAAAACTATATTATTTACTAATTATTAACTCATGATAATGAAGACTTATCACACCCCCCAACTTAAATCATTGCTAGTTCCTTAGCAATGAAATTACGAAAATAAAAAATTACAAATCTCAAACATCATATTTCAATACATAAAAAAAATACAATTAGAAATGATGCACCTTTAGACACTTTGGACTCTTATATCAAGTATTTAGGAATGATGTCAAGCACTTAAATATTTAAGCACTCCTTGGAATAACAATCTAGACTTCACTTCTTCTATTCACATCTTTATCACTTCTTCACTCATAGATATATTTAGAAGATGTTCCAATTATCAATAATCATCCAAGAATAGTATTGATCCTACATTTCCTTTTTTCCATGGCTTGATTTTTGAAGTTTGCACTATATTTCTTCCTTCTTTTACAATGGATAAGTAGCTTTTCCTATAGACAAATTTCGACAATGAAAATGATGTCTCACCATGTGTACTCTTAATTTTCAGGGCTTTCACTTTATCCACTTATTTTGCAGCAAGTGTTTTTCTATACATGATTTTTGACAATGAGAATGATGTCTCACACCCTCCATGTGTACTCTTCGTTTCTAGATTTTTCACATTGCTCTCTCTCTCTTTTTTTTTCTGAAATAAGTGATTTCTCCTCACAAGTCCTATAGATCTGGGTGCAAAAATCTCTATTAAACTCAAATGATCAATCAAATTTTCAAATCAAGTAAATACTATCCATCAAGATCATGAAGTAAAAATCTATAAAATCAAATCCATGTTATCTATCATGTATCCAAGGAGTATTCCAACATTTCATGCTACTAGATCATTCTTTTGACTCAATAATAATCTTCCTAGTATCTTTTGGTATCAATCAATCTAATTGATTTTATTTTTCATGCATGCAATATGATGTAAGAAATTTGTAAATTAGATAGTACTGACAGTTCTATTTTTAACAACAATAAATTTGTCAAAAATAAATCAAAACTACCCTCTTTATAGTTGTAATTTGGAATTTCAGTAATATATGTCTAGGGCATTGAAATGTGAGAAAAGGGTCTCTAGAATTTCAAATTTCGGGCTGTTTTTTGTCTGCTATTTTGGAAATTCTGTTGTTCCTGACAGAAAACTAGAAAATAGATGTTGCAGTTTTTCCGAATTTTATTTTATTTTTTATTTTTTCAGTTGCTGTTCTAATGCAAACACATGTTCTTAATCATCGTACTGTATAAATTAATAATGAATACTTCACCCCCCAACTTAAAAATGACATTGTCCTCAATGACACAGAAAAATCGAAACAGAATATGTAGAAAATATAATTTTCAAGTGAAGCATGCATATATGCAAAGTTAAGCATTAAAAATATTGTCATAAATGATAAAGCTCAGAAAGACATCACCTCAACCTTGTTTTTAATTTTCCACTTCATCTTACACTCCTCCTCCTGCACTTTTTTCAAAAAATAAATACAGAAACAAGTACTACGAAATTCTAAGAAAAATAGAGCTTAAAAAAATCAAACAGAATGAAATAAAAACCATGGGTTGCCTCCCATGCAGCGCTGAATTTAATGTCTTCAACTGGACAGCTCATAGATCATATAAGATGATCTATGACCATCAAAATATATTTGTATCCCAAGGTAAGTTTCATGATATTCTTTTTCAGATTTAGCATAAATTCATGTACTTCATATATATACCTTGACATACTTTCAGCCAAAATGGAAATTAACAAACTTTTCTCAAAATTAATATTTCCATTTTGAAAAGAATCTTTCCTCATTTCGTCCTTGTTTTGTAAGGCTCTCATTCATTAATAAATACTTTCTATTAATAGACCATAAAATATGATCAGGCCATATAATTTTCAAATTAGCTCTTACCCAATCTAGAATTTTTTCATCTAAATTGATATCTCTAATTCTTCCATTCATCCATTTCTTAATGTCTTCTTTTATCTGCATAATCTTCCCCTACTCCATTTTATCTTCCATACATATTTGTTCAATTTGGGAGGAGTGAAATATTTCAAGCTTAGAAATAATTCTAATGGGCTGTGGGTTTTGAAGGATGGAAGGATTGTCTTCTTTAATCTTAGATCTAATGAATTCAGTAAAATTCAAATTTTCTCCTCCAAAATTATCTCTATATTCATATCCATTATTTTCGTTTCTCCCCATTAGTTGAATCAATTCTTTTTCTAGCTTTTCGTTTCTCAACTCATCAAATTCTTCATCTTCCCAAGAGCTATCTTTTAATTTCGGTATATGATATACATCATCATCCTCACAATCAACATCTATGGCTGCAAAATTATGATTAGATTTATTAATTTCGTCTCCTACGTCTCCCAAATCAACTGATTTTTCCTCACCTGAAATATGTTTTTCTTCATTTTTGTCCTTACTCTTTTCTACTAAAATTTTGATGATTTTTCCATGATCAGCTGCTGCTTCTTCATCTAAGGGCTCTTTTTCCTCATCATCCTCACTATATTCATTCATCAATTGTGAGCAATAAATGATTTTATTCAAATTTTCTGCTACAATATTTTCAGCATTAATATTCTCATTTACTTCTAATGGCTCATCAATTTCTTCTAATAATTAGAAATGAGGATCAGGTAAAATATTCTCACTCAATGTATTCATTGTCCTAATATTTTCATTTCGTGAGTTTTTTTCTAAATTTATCGAGCTAGACTCTCCTCGCTGAAATCCTACTGTTGGACAATTTTCTAAATTTTCTATGGGCTGACTGGGTGGCTGTCCCTCTTCTCTCCTATTCTCAAAAGCCTCTATAATTTATTTTTGGTGCAACATCATTTGATTCATAGTTTGTTGCATCATTTGGCTCATTTGTTGCATCATATCTATAGTATCAGGTTGGGTTTGAGAGGACTGATTTTTCTGAAATCTGTTTTCTTGTTTTGGACGAAATTCAGAGTTTGAATTGGATCTAAGTGCTTTTGGATTTTGAATATTATTTGGGTTTCTCCACGAAAAATTATTCCCCCAATTAGGATTATAAGAATTAAAAAAATATTCCCTATTTTTACTAAAATCGTGGGGTACTTGCACTTGTTCTTGCTTAGGATGATATTGAAATTCGAAATGATCATTTTCACCATACCTAGGACAAGCACTATATGCATTCAATTGAAGGTTAGGAAGCTTTCTAATATTCTCAATAAGTAAATCAAGTTTTTCTAATCTTTGATTAATCTGATTGACCTCATTTCTAAATTTAGAATCATCATCATGATGCAATTCATAAATTCCTCTCTTCTTATCCCTATCATATAATTCAAAAGAGGCTTGATCTCTAGAATTTTCATTTAAATTCTCATAAAGACTATAAATCTCATTAGGGGTTTTCTCTATAAAAGCTCCTCCACATATAGAATCAACCATATTTCTATGTTGTTCTAATAATCTATCATAAAAAATTCTATTGAGCTACCACTTGGGTATAGCATGATGAGGACATTTTCTAAGTAAATCTTTGAATTTTTCCTATGTCTCATGTAAAGTTTCTCTTGGTCTTTGAGAAAAACTCCATATATATTTTCTCATATTTTGAGTTTTACCTAAGGGATAAAATTTTCGAAGAAAGGCCTGTTCTGGTCCTTCCAGCTAGTTAATTCTCTATCTAATATGGATAGCCAATGACTAGCTTTGTCCCTAAGTGTATGAGGAAATAATTTCATCTTAATAATTTCCGGTGTAACTTGAGGGAGATTAACTAAATCACAGACCATATGAAATTTTTCTAAGTGCTGATGAGGTTCCTCTAAAGTCAATCTATGAAAATTAAAGAGCATTTGAAAAATTCTTGGATTTATTTCGAATTTAATAGTGGGTGCTAATGGGACTCTAATATTTTGATGCTCTTTGAAATGAATAAGGGATATAATGATTTTTCATGGCCATACGATTGTTCTCAGTTTGACCTGTACTTCCTTCAAGATCCATCAAAATTAATTTTTCTTTCGGATTTTAGTTTTGATTGAAATAATGAAAGGATTTTCTAGCCTTGGATGCAAGGATCTTCTACCATGCATAAAAAAATAAATTTGAGGAAAAAGTTTAGTAATTATTACCCTCCTTCAGTATGCTCCAGTCCTTACTTTGCTTCTGTTCATTCCCTTTTTTTTTCTTTTCTCTTTTTTTTTAAAAAGTCGGCAAAAAGAAAATAAAACAAGAGTTAAATTTTTTTGTGTACTCTAAGAGAAAAATAGAAAAATACTAAATATTATGCAATACATTCTCAGCAACGGTGCCAAAATTTGACATGACTCAGTCGTTGTATATTAAATCACGCAAATATAAAATTTATAAAACTAGAAAATACGAATTTTCGGACATTTAGAAGTATTTCTGAACAAATATATCATTATAATTCAATAAAAGTTCCAAAAATAGCAATAATTTTGTAATTCGATCATAGGGATGTAATATAATATCTGGTAATTACTCAAAATTTTCTGCAAAGAATACTATTTTCTATGAATTTTCTATTAGGAAATGAAAAGGAAATATATTTAAAATTGACGGAAAAAGGAAATAAGGGTGCGGACATCAGGATGACATTAGCGCTCGGCGAACGCGAATCGCGCGAAAATAGAGTTCCGCCCGGTGATTCTTACGTAAGTAATTACAGACAATTTAATTGATCAAATTAAGATCTGTAAAAGTCGGAAGAATCGTAATGAAATGAAGTATATCTAGGTAAATTTAAAATAAACAAACTATCACTAAATGAAACGTAAATTAAGTTGAAAGTAGGAAAACAGAGTTCCGGCGTCGCGACGGCAATGCTTCGGCGATGCACTGGAATCCTGAGCGTTCGGGAGGATAGTCGTGCAGTGTCCACGGCCTCAAAGGCTCTCCCTGGACAAGGACGATGTGGGCAATCTCTAGATCTCCTTGCAAAGTCTAGAGATCAATGAAATGGGTCGTCGAATCGTCTCCAGCGGTTGTCACCCGGCAGAGCGGAAAAACGGCGACTTTGTGGCTCTCCGACGGTTGTCACCCGACGGAGAGGAGCTGGATGGAGGTGGGGTGCGTGTCAAGGAGCTTCATCCTCAAGTCTGCGCAGCAAGAGGAGGCTCTTTATCGCATCTAGTATGCTCTCAAGAGGTGGCGACTCGTCTCCCAGTGGATCGTCCTCTTCTCGACGACGGCTTATTTGTTGATCAATCGAAGATGCTTTACTCGATGGATTCGCGATCCTTTTATCGTGAATCATTCAGCAATTTTAGTAACAATGCTCCACAAATCGTGTTGATGAGATTTTTGCCGATGATCTAGCGATTCTGGTTGCTTAATCCTTCACCGGCGATCTACATGAAAGTCGCGATAATCAGATAAAAAAATATGAGTTTTGGCTCTAGGAGGATTCGAACACGTGCCGGTTGCCCGCCCTTTCTGGGTAAGGTGACGCAAGTTTAGTCCCACATCGGTTGTGCGCCGAAGTTTCTTGCGAATATAAAGTAATATTACATTCCTTATCAAAAACGCGTGTACGACCACTCCTTGCCCCACAGCCGGTTGGCCACTAGTGACGTGGAAGGGGAGTGGCGCACACGTGCCTCCATCGGTTCAAGCCGCTCAAGCCCCTACTTGCGGCTACTTCTCGACTGCGCTTCTGACCCACTCGCGGGTCCAGCTGGCCGACGGGTCCCCCCATTTTGCAATATTTTTATTTTTATTTCTTCTTCTACATTTATCTCAAAAGTAAGACTATAAAAATCATATAAATTCGTATAAAATCACATAATTACCCAAAATTCACATTAATCAACTGAAAACCACTTTTCACACTTTAACATAAATATAAGTCTATTTATCATGAGTTAAAATTAAAACTATATTATTTACAAATTATTAACTCATGATAGTGAAGACTTATTAGTCATCTTCATAACGGCCCGCCTCTTTCTCTCTCTTTAGGCAAGGGTTCTTGGCTCATGAATTAAGCAAGCTTAACTATGATAAGCTCCACATTGATTCACCGATTTGTGTGCCATTTCTTTAGATTACTTAGCATAGTAAAACGCACCACAAAACCCTCTTTCTTCGTGTTGATGTTGATGGAACTGATCGGTGTAAAACTCTTATTGGTGTATTCAAGCATATTGGTTACTTTAAACTTTTTTTTATTATGGGTGATTGATTAACCATTGTAAACTGTAGGATTAAAATTTTCAGTCTCTTTTTTGAATTGAAACACGAGATTAACTAACTTGTTCCATGTTAAGCTCCAAATTGTTCCATATCTAATCCCCTAAGATCCTTAAATCTTAGTCTATTAATTATCTTTCCCCTTCCAAGCAAGGAAGGAGAGTTCTATAAAAAGTTCTCTATCAAATCGTGCAAAATTAAACAATTTATTTACTTTTAGATTGTTTCATTTCAACGATCTTTTAAACATTGTTGATTTGAGCTAGTACTGCAAGTGTGTAGCACTTGGGTTTTTTAGTTCTATACACAAGTATAGAAATGTGTATACATTGGAAATATATTTGAAATAAATTCACAATGGAATAAGCACCACATAAAAAATCAAATATTTCTATTTGTGATGAAGGCTATAATATTATTTGACAATTTATGAAGCTTCAATTTTGGTACTGATGTGACAACACATGGCGAGATTTGTAACTAATGTTAAAAACTACTAGGCAGCCCTTAATGTCGAATATGGAGATTGGAGTTCAACCAACAAAGGAAATAAAGGATTGAGAATAATATGAGGAAAGTAATTTCGCTTGACCAAACCACTATAAGCCTAGTGTGTGAAGACTATTGAGAATAATTTGAGGAAAATACTTGTTTGATCATAAAAAAGGTCATGTTCACCTCTCTTTTAGTTCCTCATGCTGCCTTTATCAAATCAATAAGGCTCTTTACAAAACAAACATGACACTTAATAGACCAATACGCTTATTTGAATAGATATATATGAGGTCTCTTTGAATGACTTTTCCTTTCTATAGATTTACTATAATATTTTTTTTCATAGATGTTAGAATAAGAATTTAATCTAATAAAAATTATCTAAATCAATTAGGAAAGTACTAAATAATCTTAAATTAAATTTTATTTCTAAAAAAATTTATTCCATGTTTTATTCAGATGGAGTTGAAAATATCACTCCTTTATTTCATTTATAGGAGTTTAAAACAAAAAATTATTAGCATTAAATAAACAACTAAATAGTATAGATATATTTAGATATTATTTCTTTAAGAGGTTCTCTTGTTGCTTAGCTTAGTTAATTAGAGAATACCATTTTTGGTTTCAAATGTCTAATGCTGCTTAGAATTTTCTCTAATATTTTCGTTTCTAAATTTTATTACCCTCAGACCTCCTTTCAGCCACCTTCCAATATCCTAAGTACCATTTTCAATTAGTTGAAGCATTTAAGGTAAAGATTGGGGATTAATTGATCAAATTCTGAAGATACATTTCATGTTTTCTCATCAAATAAATTTTATATGATATCCCTCTATTTGCAAAAACTTATGAGGAAACATTTTTTATTTAGGTTAAAGGTTACATGACAAAAGCTAAAACAATTGCTATAAAATACTCAAGATTCTCATGATTATTTTTTATAATATATCAAAATCATTATTCCAATACAACATTTTTTATTTCTTGTCATTAAATTTATTCCAACATTTTCCCAAACTCACCAAATCACCTTCTGATCCACTTTGAAGAAAGAGATGGAGAAATTGAGGGATAAAGGTTTACAGGGGGAGGGGGTAGAATGTACGTCTCTAATTGGGTAGACAAATTTAGGGGGTGGATGAATTGATTTTTCATTTTTTTTAGTTAAGTATAACATATTTATTTTTTGTTTCACTATAGTTTATTTCTCTATGTTAATATAAAAATATAAAACAATTTAGAAGAAGTTCGTGCACAAAAGATTGTATAATGGTTTGGCCAAACTCTATCAGCATATATTAACTTTTGAGGAATCCAACTGAATTATATTATTCCACCGCAAGAATGTGCTTAATTTTACAGGGTTTAATAACCTCATTCCCAAACTATGTGAGCCTATGACCCTTAGAATTGCTAAGCTCCTAAGTTTCCTCATTGCATACACATACATGTGCCTCAATGACCAATGTGACTACAGTGATGATGCAACACATGTCTCCATTAGTTCAAATACAATAATCAATGTGATTACGTTGATGATATACTACAACTGTTTCAACCAGTCCACACACCACAACTCAAAATAAAATAACAAATAATCAAGAATGAGTTTTCACATCCTTCCACATCACCGATGGCCAGGTGGCTGTGGACAAGGAGTGGTCGTACACGCGCGAGAAAGGGACTTGATTGCAAATGTAATATTACTATATATTCGCCCGAAAATTCAGCACACAAGCGATGTGGGACTAAACTCGCATCACCTTCTCCAGAAAGGGCGGGCAATTGGTGCAAGTTCGAATCCTCCTAGAGCCAAAATTCATATTTTGTATCTGATTATCACGACTTTCCTACAGATAATCACAAGATTAACAATCCTTCACCAATGATCCAGTGACTCTGGTGCGAGAAAGTTGCAATAATCAGATAAAAAATATGAGTTTTGGCTCTGTGAGGATTCGAACCCGCACTGGTTGCCCACCCTTTTTGGGGAAGGTGTGATGCGAGTTTAGCCTCACATCATTTGTGCACCAAAGTGTCTGGTGAATATATAGTAATATTATATTTGCAATCAAGTCCCTTTCTCGCACGTGTACGACCACTCCTTACCCCACAGTCGGCTGGCCACCGGTGATGTGGAAGGGGAGTGGCACACACGTGCCTCTATCGGTCCTAGCTGCTCAAGCCTTTGCTCACGGCTCCTCCTTGACTGCGCTTCTGATCTGCTTGCAGGCTCGGCTGGCCAGTGGGTCCCCCCCAATTTGCTATATTTTTATTTTTATTTCTTTTTCATAATTTATCTCAAAATTAAGATTATAAAAATCATATAAATTCGTATAAAATCACATAATTACCCAAAAAATCACTTTCATCAACTGAAAACAACTTTTCACACTTTAACACAAATATAAGTCTATTTATCATGAGTTAAGGCTAAAACTATATTATTTACTAATTATTAACTCATGATAATGAAAACTTATCACACCCCCCAACTTAAATCATTGCTAGTCTCTTAGCATTGAAATTACGAAAATAAAAATTTACGAATCTCAAAAATCATATTTCAATACATAAAAAAAATTATATAATTAGAAATGATGCACCTTTAGACACTTTAGATTCTTATATCAAGTATTTAAGAATGATGTCAAGCACTTAAATCTTTAAGCACTCCTTGGAATAACAATCTAGACTTCACTTCTTCTATTCACATCTTTATCACTTCTTCACTCATAGATATATTTACAAGATGTTCCAATTATCAATACTCATCCAAGAATAATATTGATCCTACACTTTCTTTTTTCCATGGCTTGATTTTTTGAAGTTTATATTATATTTCTTCCTTCTTTTTTTTTTTATATATATACATACTAAATAAGTAGCTTTTCTTGTAGACAAATTTTGACAATAAGAATAATGTCTCACACCCTCCATATGTACTCTTCATTTTCAGAGCTTTCACTTTATCCACTTATTTTGCAGCAATTGTTTTTCTATGCACGATTTTCAACAATGAGAATGATGTCTCACAGCCTCCATATGTACTCTTCATTTCTAGATTTTTCACATTGCTCTCTCTTTTTTTTCTGAAATAAGTGATTTCTCCTCACAAGTCCTATAGATCAGGGTGCAAAAATCTCTATTAAACTCTAATGATTAATCAAATTTTCACATCAAGTAAATACTATCCATCAAGATCATGAAGTGAAAATCTGTAAAATCAAATTCATGTCATCTATCATATATCCAAGGAGTATTCCAACATTTCATGCTACTAGATCACTCTTTTGACTCAATAATAATCTTCCTAGTATCTTTTGGTATCAATCAATCTGATTGATTTAATTTTTCATGCATGCAATATGATGTAAGAAATTTGTAAATTAAATAGTTCTGACAGTTCTATTTTATGTTTTAAGTTCTATTTTTAGCAACAATAAA